GAGCAATCGGGGAGGAGGAGGATTGATCAGGGTTAACAACCCAGCTCGGCCCGATGCGCGTCGCCTCGCGGCGCGCGTCCACCCCATTTCCCTTTCATCTCGCTTTCTCTTTGTTCACCACAGTATATATACACTTGCGGGTGTGACGGGAGACGTCGTCATCTCACGCTGCGCTCGCAGGTCAGTCCCCCTCTACCTTACATGCCAAAGTCGTCTCACGCTGCGCTCGCAGCTCACCTGCTCACTAGTTTTCCCCTCCCGCCATCTCTGTTACAACTCCATTCCATTCCATCTCTACTCTACATCTCTGATTCTTTTTCCTGTAGTCCATAGTAGCTGGCTTGAGTCGGCCCCTGTGTCGGCCCGAGAGCTTTGGGACCCAAATGCAACCCATTTGCTGCCAAACCACTGCCCTCAGTTGTTCCACTTCTCATCTCTCCCTCCAGATCCCTTGGCAAGTGCGCAGGAGGTTAACCTCATTCAAACCCAAATATTTGTCAAAAAATAGTGTTACATTATTATTACCCCAATTTGTCCTATCTAAGGGTGATTTGTCATATATAATGGCACCTTGTCACTTATTTCTAATATATCAGCTACACTTTGATGCTGTCTCTGATTTTTTGATATATATGGTCTCATATCTTGTGGCATACTTGGTGTATTTATTTGCTACAAATTGTAGCCACAAAATTGTCAGCTGATATTGGCTTTAGGTTAAGTCCAATCTGATAACTTAATATATGCCTCAATTTCTTACAAATTAAGTCTGTTTTATTCAATATCTTTCCAAGTCATTAAAATATACATCTTTTTTGTCCACTATTTATTATAAATAGATAAATCCTACTTCGGGGCCCATTTTTTGTACAGAAACCCTCAGTATATATTGATTTTTTTTTCTTTTTACAAATGTTAGGGCTGCCAATCAGCAGACTTTTTTTTAGAAAAAAAAAGCTCTGCTATCTACTGACAAGCCTCCAGCCTTGTTAGGATCACTTGGTCAGTACTGATCCGCCAGCAGTGTACTCTGGCAGTTATATTCCTTATAGTTCCTAGTTTTTGTTCCTATCATTTAGTAGCTCCTATAGCTATTAGTATAAGAGGCATGTAGTAACATGGTTGTCAGCAGAATAGTCATTCTGCCCACCTTTCTCCACCTTTGTCCACTGTTGTCTCCACTACCGGTTTCCACTTCATCTTTCTGTCTTTCTAGGGTTGCAGGAGCATGTTGAGGAAGAGGCTAGATTGTTGCTAGTGGCTGGGGCAGAGATTTTGGCTGCAGGAGAAGCTGCACTTGGTGATGGCAGCCGAGGGCCATACTTTCAAGTCAAGCGCAGCAAGGATTTCTACAAGACTGCACTTGCGATGCCCGACCGTGACTTCTGGTACACATTTAGGTGTGTTTTTACTGTTCTCTTCATTTGAAAACCTTACATGTCATACAGAATAAGCCCACCGACATTCAAGATCTTTGTTGAGCTTCTTAGCAAGAATCCCATCTTTAGGTCGACGGGGAAGAGGCCCCAGAGACCAGTTAGCTGGCAACTAGTGTGTTTCCTCATACGTTATGGACATCTGGGTAGTCCTGTCTTTGATACAATGCTTAAAATGGGAATCAGAAATGGAACTGTTCTTCTCTATTGTCGTCGAGTGATTTGGGCGATACATATGCTTTGCGGCTGTTTTGCGGCATAGTTTAATGAAGAGGAGCAGCAGGAATTAATGGAAGCTATTGAGGCAAAGACTGGTTTCACCAAATATGTTGGAAGAGGGGGGCGGAACTTTTATTTAAATAACTCAGCCAGCATGGATAGGGCCATCTTATCTCAGCCGCAAAGGCTTTTTTACCCTCTCTGTCTTTGCAATTGTAAATCATGATGTGAGATTCAGTCTTGCAAGCGACATCGTCACAACCAAGAACATGGTCTACTCATTTTGCGGCACTGTCATTTCATTCATCAACAATAACTGGGAGCTGCGTGAATATCCTCTGGACCTCATCCCTCTTGATGGTGATCATACCGGTTGAGGTGTATCTCGCCTCATTTATTGCCGTCTCAAAGGCCGGAAAATCATGGCCTGTCTGAGTAGGTCTTGCCCAGTTGCCTTGCGCTTCGAAACCTCATACTGTTCCAGTGGCGAGTGCAGCAGATAATGCGTTGAGTAATGGCCTACTCAACTGCTACCTCTCTTGAAGATGTGCTGCCACAACCAGGGAACTGTCATGAAGAAATATTCAGATTGGTTGCGGCGCTCATGTAACAAACCTCATTGCGCAGTAAGGTCTTATTTAATCGGATTTACATATGCTAATCACGCACAGGAAAAGCACGAGCTCACTGGGACTAGCCTGAGTAACTCGATTTGTATGAACAAAATCACAAGCTCCTGATCGTTTACAATGAGGGTAAAGATCCCCTTGTTGCAGAAGAGATGGCTCTGATGAAATCTGAGATACAGGCGGTAAAGGAGGGTAGGACCGAGCTCGAGAATGATTTGGATATAGAATTCTCAGGGGAGAGCGAAAGCGAGGGTTCGGATTCGGAAAGTGATGATGCATGGGAGGATGAAGCGGGAATGACTGAAGCATCTAAGAAGGCCAACAGTAGTCGCAAGTCAAAGAAGAAGGCGAAAAAGGTCTGGACACTGGTAACCAAAGTGCGTGCCTCTCAGTCCCAAGTACACCGCTCAATCATCAACCCAGATACATGCCACGGTCGTTCACATATTGCATTCTGGCAAACGGCGCCAAATTGCTCAGTGGATTATCCGTAAAAAGGCCTCTCCCCAATATCGCAATTTGGTCTTTGTGCGTGGAATGCCGGTGCGATTCGACATTAACTGAGTTGGTGCGGGCATCAAAACTTCAGAAGGTAAGTACTTCCTCTATGATAGTGCCGCGTTATTTGAGCTAGGCATTTGATGCTTTTGTCGCCAAAATGGGTGATGGGCTAAGTGGGAAAGTGCGCACTCTGGCGCTGGGACTGCGCCTTATAACTTTTCCTCTGCGCTTCGAGCGGGGGCTGAGTTAGCAACTAAATACATTAACAAAGCTCTTGCAGGGGACTACGCTCTCCTCGGTGCCGGTCGGTCTCTTTCCGCAGGTTACATATGAGCGCTCAAAACCTCTAGTTCTATACCCTGCTATCCGGGTCAAGTACTTCCAGAGCAAAAACTGGGACAAAACTGCTCCTTCTTGACACACTGTTGAGACATATGTATCTTGCCACCTAAATTCCGAATCAAGCACACCTGCAACCGTTCAGCCTGCAACAATGACAAGTACACCAAGTGTCTTATCGATGGCTCTTGCCCTCAATGGCCCACTGACCAAAAAACCACCCGCCGCTAGCAATACTAGTCGCTCAGGCGGCGCCCACGAGGTTGATCTATATCTTGGCAACATCTCCCCCATTGAGGAAGGGTTCGATGATGCACTGGGCTGGTGGAAGGTTCATGTTAACCCTCTGTTTGGAGCCCACTGACTTTGCTCCCAGGTAAACTCAGGTACCTTAGTGATATTAGCTCTTGCTGCTCGGGACATGCTTGTGATACCGGGGATGAGCGTCCCTTGCAAGCGCCTGTTCTCCAGCGTCAAGAAAACACTGACTGATGCGTGGGCATCGATGACCACTGAGACAGCATCAATCGACATAATTTGCAAGGAGTGGTTGAAGTCTGGACTGGCAGAAGGGGTAAGTTACATTGAGAGCATTAGAACCATTAAGCAGTAGTAGCCAATATATCAAGATATATCCAAAATATATTCATATCATATCGTGTTTGATAGATATGATATAGTATGAATATGATACAGCTTCAGAGGTCCTGATATGATATGAGTATGATATGATATGCCATATTGCCTATCATATCTGTATCTGGCTAGCACTAGTGTGAATAATAAAAGTATATTTACTGAATAATGGCACTACTGTATGATTTCGACCGTAAGTTCGGTGGGTGTAACACATCACCCAATGAACTTGCAATGTAACAAGTTCATCATATAATTACTATATATGGTAGGCTGGCGATAGCCGGCCGAAATCTTTAATATATTATTGCCTAATTAGGACATATTTGATGGTAAATTTGCATGTAACGCGTCACCTATTTTGATTAGGTTCAGTTCAGGGGCACGTGTCACACGTCACCTGAACTTACGGTCGAAATGATACAGTAAATTATATAAAATTTGTGTCAGGGGAACCCCCGCTTCGGCCTCCTTCGGACCCTCCGAACGCATCCGAGGCGCATCCGACCGGCGCCCCCTCGGACGCTCCGACCCACCCCGACCATCGTCCACGGCCTCCTTCGCTCGCACAATCACCGATCCGTCAAGACCCTCCCAACGATCACCTTGGGACAGAGCCTGCGACGCCGCTCAGGCCTTCTGCGCTCTACGTCGGCAGTTACGGACGACCAGTATATAGTTGGCGCCCTAGCAGGAGGACCCTTAGAGTTTCTTCTCTTTGGATCCTCTCCTGCTAGGTCGGTCCCTCCGTGTATTCCCGTAGCTTTTATTCACGCTTTGGATCCTCCCCTGCTAGGCTTTCGTCGGAGTCTCCAGGGTTGCCCTTACAATTTGCCCTCAATTGACAATCAAGAAGATAGATTATTGGCAGTTTTTTTGTTTTGATATAACCCGATAATTATGCATAATTATATCACATTGTGTATAGGTTATCTAGGAGGGGTATTCCCGATAAAGGTCTGGCTGAATCCGACAAGCTGTGGACACTTTGGTGGTGTATGACTCTATCATAGTTTAATTGCTAAAAGTATCTGTTTTTTAACAGTTCTGTCCCCCTTGTGTAGAAGGCTGCAGACCAAACACCAATTGGCAATGAGTAACCCTAAACAGCATAATTCTTGGAATGCTACACCTATAACAATTCAATTATAAACACAGTTGAACCAAAGTCCAAGATCTCTGTAAGCTGATAACAAGCCTAACCTTAGGGAAACAGACGACTTGTAGACTTTTTCACATCTCATTTCCAGAGTGTGTTGGGCGGTCTCGGGAACGAATGCGCATGCCGCGGGTCTAACTCATTGTCGACGGTGAGTGCACGGATGGGCTCAATCTCTGCGTCAAGATCGAGGCCGCCGAATAAGCCGCGCAGCATCGCTGTCATGTCCGGCTTGATCTGTTCGATATCCGGGTTCTCGGACTCTACATCCAGCATCATAGTCAACCGGCGACGCACACCGGGCACAGAAGGCGCCTCAGCGAGCCATTCGGCTAGCGGGGCGAGCAACGCTTCGATGCCCGGCACGAGCGCAGGGTCGGGATGTTGGGACCCGGTGTTGTCGGTGTCGTCGACAATGAGGAGGCGAACAACCACGTGCGGGACGTGGGCCGGGACGCAACGGAGCAGCTGCAGGGGCCCATCTGTATCGTACGCCTCATCTGCCACAAGCCCGTGCTCTAAGCGCAGCGCGAGCTCGAAAGTGTGAAGCTTGTCCATATGTTCGAGGGACAAGGCGGGCTCCTCCAGCTCGCCTGGTCGTTGAGTCAGCGATATAATCTATCATCAGCGTATGCTCACCGATGGAAAAGTGCGTCTGCTCTCCCAGTGAAACGCAAAGACGCTCGAGGGATGTGGCGTGCGCTAAAATGGAGTCATTCACACCGTAGAATTCGTCCCTGATGTGGAGGTAGCGGAGCGAACGAAGGTCGATAAGGCCACTGCGATGTTCGAGAAAGCGCGGGAGGAGCTCCAGTGCGTCGAGTTTCAGTGGGGGCACATCCGAGTCGCCGTCGCTGCTACCGCCATCCGAACCAGGTGAACCTTCTTCATCGATGTCACCGCCAACTGACAGCTCGTGTAGGGACACGTGGGCCAGCGGCGAGTGGCCAGCGGACCGGATAAGCTCGCCAAGTACGTCGATCGGCGTGGACCAGAGCGTCAGAGAGCGCATCTGCGCGCGCGCCACCTGCCGTGCAAGGGCTTCCCGTACGAGGCCGTGGAAGCTGTCCCAGGAGGAGAAGTCGTCCCCGTGGTCGTGCGTATCGATCGTGATGCCTTCAAGGCGCTCAAACCTATCGATGACGGCCGCCGCGCCAGCCTCCTCCAGCCACCCAGAGCCGTGAACAACCCAGAGATGCCGCACATACCCTGGAATGTGTGGTGCACTATCCAGGAAGCGGAGCGCATCGTCGGCACCCCAGTGCGCGTAATCGGGGTACCCATCCGTGTCTACCACGGGCATCAACCGGATGTTGGCGAACAGGCGCCGCTGAGCGGCACCACACAGAGCTGAAGACACGAGCGAGCAGCTCTTGAGCGTGGCGTGCCCCTCCACCTGTTCGATGATTCGCCTGAGCAACTCTTGCGGTATCATGGTGATTTACCGGCTTGTGTTCCCAAGAGCCATTCAAAGGTCGTGAATATATAAGAAGGGAGCGGTGCAATGAGGTAACGGCGCCGAAAGCCCCTTTCGTCATTCGAGCGCCGGTACGGCGGTAATCGATGGCGTTGAATAGAGGCATGGGCATGTGCTAGAGAGTGGGGCAACGCGGCAACGGCGCCAATTGCCATAGTTGTCGCCTGCCCATCCACGTGTACCGTACGGCGCGTCCCGCGTGCCGGTCGATCATGCTTTTCACACTGAAAAAGACAAACTTATCAGTTTGCGCTGAAAGGCTCACAGAAACTTAGCTGATATGTTTTTTGAGCTTGCTCTGCTAAAATGTAGCAGCTGCAGTGCGAGCTTGGATCCGTGCTTGAGCACGCTTTGTGCTCGAGAGACCTGACGTTGACACAGGGAAGGTCAAGCTGCGCACTGGCAGACGCTCAATGTTTCCTGCGCCCGCGGCGTCTTGCGTCGCTGCGGCATACATCCTTCGGGTCCCTCTGTACTTCACTGAGGAGGAATCGGCGGTGGAAGCGGCGACCATGGTGGTGCAAGACGAAGGGGAAAAAAATTCTCCATTGATCCGATTATTCCGTGATGTCATCATTTTCAGGGCACAAGGCGAAAAAAATGCCGTAATGTCACACCCGTTGTGGGTGGCATATCTTCTTTTCTTTCTCCCACCACGTCAATGTTTCCCAACGAGTTATTCCACGAGGTGCTCAAGGATCTGGCGCCAGCGGACCTCAAGTCGGTGGCACTCGTCTCCCGCAGGCTGCGGTTGCTTGTGCGACCTTTCCTGTACAGCAAGCTGCAGTTCTGGCCATACTCAGTGTCCTCGGACTTCACGGCCCGAGTTATGCAGCGACCCGGGCTAGAGGAAGCCCAAAACATTCTCGACAAGCTCAACTTCTCCACGTCGCACATCATGGTGCGGCATGTGCGCGCTCTGCGCATCAGCTGCGACGAGTACGACGTCCGGAGCAGGCTATTCGATCGCGCCCCGATGACGCATGCTCTCCGCGACCGGCTGTTTGATCGTCTCGGAGACTTCACGCGACTGAAGACCCTCAAGATCGATTACCTAGACGTGCCCCCCGCCGCGCTGTTCCAAATCGGCTGCTTGTCGGGGCCACTCACGCTGTCCGTCGTCGGTTGCTCGCCGCCACTCCGCCCGGAGATTGACTTCGCCATAGCGATGCGCCTCGAGAAGATCGTTCTTCGCGTGTCGAGTCTCTTTGTGTGGGAGACACACAACTGGGACGCATGGGTCTGGCTCTTCCTGTGCGACCCAACCCTCCTCCAGCACGTCAAGCTGCGGATCTGCGAGTGGGCGGGTGATCCCACTACGTTCAGGCTTGTGCCATCCCACAGTCTCGGCCCGTTCCGCCGAGTATCGACGCTGAAGCTGCTCTTCCACACGACTCAGGACCTCACGACCTGGAATTGGGCGCTGCTGAAGGCCACCTTCCCGCACGTGCGCTCCCTGGACGTCCTCCCGGACCCGCATGACGTAGACTGCGGCCACCCGGACACCCCAGCGACGCTTCACCAGTTTCTCTCTTCAGCGCGCTTCGCCGACCTGCTGGAGATGAGCACAGTTTGCGAGCTGCTGCCCATCCTGCTGCCCGGCACGCCTCTCCGCCATCTCCGCATTACCGATTCCGCCGCCGTCGACGTTCTATCCGCCCTCCGCGTCGTCGAGGCGCATGCCATCCCGCCCACGATTGCGCAGCTCACTCTCGAAATTTCCGACGGCGACAGGACTGTATGGACAGGCATCCTCGCGTTCTTCCCCGCCCTGGACGTCCTGCGCGTCACGATCGTGCTGTCCGACGGGGAGACGGCAAACTGGAACAACGTTCGTAGATCTCATTCTTCCGTCCTTCGCCTGGCTGATGAGATGATGATGATACCAGGTCCGCGCATTCTTGCTGGCACTACCGGCGGTGCTGCCGTCCAGCTTGACGGAACTGTCCCTGGAAGTCAAGACCACTGATACTGTGGAGCCTCCATCGACCCGGGCCCCGCGGCCCGACGCTGGCGCTCCAACAGCCGTGCAGTTGCAAGCCGAGCTGATGGATCGGTGCATGGGCATGAAGAGTATCATAGTGACAGTTCCCTTCCTGAAACTACGCTGGGCCACGCTGGCTCCAGATTACTGAGCAAAAAACAAGGTGCCAGCGGTGATTTGATTTTCTTTTACATCGCCGATCCTGGAATGTATACATACGACTTGTAAATATGTACTAAGTATGTACACTGTGAGTTCAAAGTGTTCCAAGGAGTATTCAAAGCAAATTCAAAGTGTTCAGGTGCGTGTGAGTAAAAGGGGAGGAGGGCTGATCCGTGATGCCATCATTTGGGAAGCACGAGGAACGTAATGACGTTACGTCACAATTTTTCACCCTTTTCTTCTCGACCTTCATGCTCGCGGCATGGACGCGTGTCGCACCGGGTTGCCGACGCAGAGCTCTGCAAACACTTCCTCTGCGTGCGTATAGCGTCTCTCTGGCGCTGCGCCATCCGCTACGACTGCCCGCGACGACGGGGATTGCGCCAGCGCCGACGAAAAGCAAGGGGGCGAGCATGAGACGAGGCTACGCGGAGGTGCGCGACGTAAAAGCGCGCTTGGAGGAGGAAGGGCTCCCGCTCAAGGTGCGCTATCATCCTTCCTTCCCCTCCTGCAAGTCTGACCCCTCCTCGAAGAACTCCGGCCCCACGACGGCTGCCCTGCTCGCATACGCCGATGCGTACTGGCTCCCGCCCACCGACGTCCCCGAGGGGTGGAGCACCGACTGGAAGAGCTGGGACTACCTGCTCACGCTCTTCGCATACAGCCCGTACTTCCTGCGCCTGCCGCAAATCGAGATGCTCGTCAACATCCGCTATGCCGTCCCGGGCGAGGTCAAGCCCGTGATGTACTCCGCGGACCACGCCGGGCTGGTCTTCGCGGTGGACCGGGAGGACGCAGAGGCCGAGGCGGACCCCGAGTACGAAGGCGCGGCGGAGGTGTACTACCTGAACTGCCGCACGTTCAGCCTCTACATGTTCGACCCCGACCACGCCCCGCACGTGCCCCCGCCCCAGACGATCGACGAGCTGCTCATGCTCATCGGCACCGCGCCGGGCGCGCCGGAGGAGGCCATCCCGCTCCTTGCGCTCGAGCCGGACGAGCACGGCCAGGCAGTGCTCAACCGCATACTCAACCGCGACGCGAGCGTCATCCCCGTGCTGGAGAAGGAGTTCCTGAGCTACGCGCCCAAGGCGACGACGCCCGAGGAGGAGATGATCCGGGCGGATGAGCTGGACGGCGCGAGACGGCAGATGTTGAAGGAAGCCATCCAGAAGGCACGTGAGTTCATTCGGGAGACGGAGGAAGAGTTGGAGCACGAGGTGGAGGAAAGTGTGGCGGTGCGTGCGCAGACGAGCGGAGAAGGAGGAATTGGTGGGGCGGTGGAGGAAGAGGAGGAACGGGCGTTTTTGCTGATGCGCGCGGCGCTGGAGGAGGCGAAGGGAAAGTTGAAGCAGCTGGAGGAGGAGTGGCACAAGGCGTACGGTGTGGATAAGAATGTCTAATGTGATAAGGGTATCAATTTCCCTTCACAATACAGCTAGTTGAACTTGTTCAGTGTGGCCCTTGTAGCGTATGACCAAGTCTGTGATCTGTTTGATAGAGGCAGTGTCATTCAGAGTGCCATTGATGTTGAAAACTGGAATCAGCCTCTACATTAACTCTGGCACTCTTCTAGCCCCAGTTAATCCTCTCTATCTCCTATATTTGTCCTCACTCTACTGTGCTTGCCTGTTCTTCTCCAATGGCGACTCCTGGTGTCCCTGTTGACCTGTATTTGTACTGCCTGCTCTTGCAGAGCAAAATTACTCTCCTCACCGACTGTCTAGACTGTGTATGGTACACCTGCTCGACCCCCTGCTCCACCTTCCCCTGGTCCTACAGTTGCGGACAATCAAAGCTGACAACTTGTATTACTCAAAATCGGTACGTAGGAATGAAAAACTAAGTGTACAGCTGGAAAGAGGGAATTTTTTCCTTCCAGAAACTATCTAAACTTTGTCAAAATTATAACTTTTTAGTGCCGGATACCCGTCAAATCTTCGACACCCCCAAAATCTCACGCTATCATGATGTATGGGGTATCAAAAGAAAGGTCTCGTTGAGCTCTATTCAGCTGGACTTGTTTCAGGACGATCCTACGTTTAGTTATGGAGAAATCACGACTTTGATGGCAGAGGGCTCCTGGTCCTACATACATTCTTTTTTAAAATAATCCCGGTCCCTACCCCTGCCGTCATTGCTGCTGTCCACACTTCTATACCACTTGCTGAAACCTTCCCTCCTCCTGCGCCTGACACTGTCACACGCTATGGTCATGCACAGCCTTGCACAGTATTGCACAGTTCTTAGCTATGTATTTAGCAACAGTTTCCATGCATAGGTCCAAATCATTTGCATCATATCCTCCTTCACAGCAAAGATGCATAGCTTTGCACAGTCTAGCTAACTTGCGCAAATTCCGTCCGTGCATGTGATATTCCAAAATGGGCTCAATAGAGTAGCAGGTCGATCAAGGATCAAAATGGCATCACAATTATTGCTGAGTAAATGATATTATGCTATATGCCCCAACCCTGACGGCCTCCACCACGTCCGCCCGCTATTTGCCCACCGATGGGGTACGGTAACGATCGACAGGCAGCTCATCATGTTACCAATAAGATGAGCTGCACTGGACATGCTTCAAGGCCACGCATGCACTATGGTGAGGAGCACTGATGGTAGAGGCCAGGAGACACTCTAATGTCAACAAGTAAGTACATCAGTTCACCGACTTCGAAATAAGTTGTATTTGCAATAATTGACAGATTACATGTGTCTTGGCTACTGGCTCACCCCGGCGCATCTGCGGCTTGACCTGAGAGACTGGGAGGGAGCGTCGTCAGCCAAACACATGGTTAAACATGTTGGCTGGCATGAGCGGGAGCGGCCAAAGCCTTGTCGTTCATAAACAAACAAGGCTGGGGCTGCTAGCTCGGGCATCGTGCATAGTAGCGTGGGGACTTGGTGAAGTCGGTAGATGCTGACGACCAGCGCAGTGCGGCTGGAGGCCTAGGCCAGGCAAGTCAGTGACGGGAAGCGTGATTATGTGCTTTCGACCACCGAGAGAGGCCAGGAGACACTCTAATGTCAACAAGTAAGTACATCAGTTCACCGACTTCGAAATAAGTTGTATTTGCAATAATTGACAGATTACATGTGTCTTGGCTACTGGCTCACCCCGGCGCATCTGCGGCTTGACCTGAGAGACTGGGAGGGAGCGTCGTCAGCCAAACACATGGTTAAACATGTTGGCTGGCATGAGCGGGAGCGGCCAAAGCCTTGTCGTTCATAAACAAACAAGGCTGGGGCTGCTAGCTCGGGCATCGTGCATAGTAGCGCGGGGACTTGGTGAAGTCGGTGGATGCTGACGACCAGCGCAGTGCGGCTGGAGGCCTAGGCCAGGCAAGTCAGTGACGGGAAGCGTGATTATGTGCTTTCGACCACCGAGAGGTCGCGTGGGCATATGGCCATGGCAGGCACAAATGGTGGTCAGCAGCAGTGGGGGGCATGCGAAAGGCATGGCAACACACCTTAAGGTCCTGTCGTTTCCCTTCCCATTAGGTCCACACATACCGCGTGCGACTCTGGGCAGTTGCTGGCAGGGCAGAAGATCCCAAGAAGGTGTTGGTGGCGGCATCAAAGAGGGAGGGAGAGGTAGGTGACTGACTGTGACATAGGGCTTGGTTTTTAAAGATTTTGAAGGTTATCAAACAGTTTGATAAAAATGGCCTCTGAAACCCTGTTTATAAACCGGTTTTTAGGTTTTATAAACCAACTGAGCTGATATGACCAGAGCGACCAATTTTTTTTTTCTTTTTGGAAATTTCTGATATAAATTTTGGCCTTTTGACTTGATGTCTGAAAGTTTCATAGGCTGTAGGGGGTTTGAGAGAGAGCTAGAGCCCATCAAGTCTCACTTGTAAGTTAGTATAATATGTTTAAGTTATATATACCATATGCAATTTACTTGAAGGTATTAGAAGATTTAAGATAAACACCTTATCAGGAATCCTCTATATGACCTAAAAATCATAATGACAGCAATACTTAATAAGAAATCTGCATAGTTAGTACTTATAGTCACAACCCAGCCCTCAGTACTAGTAGTAATCATAGCTACTAGTTAATCATAGCTAATGTCAGCCAAAGTAGGTAAAGATTCTACTTGATAAGAGACTAGATGTTATAATAGACCTATAAGATATGGTCAAGCCTACTAGTAGTATATAGAAGCAATATTAGTGTGAAGTAAGTCTAGTTTACCAGCTTCTTTCCTTTTTGGGTGCTTATTAATATAAAACCATAAAACAGGGTGTTTCCAGCCATGCTGTTTATAAACATATAAAACAGGGGTGTTTGTAAACCGGTTTACAAACACCCCTATATAAACCAAGCCCTACTGTGACATGCTATCAAATAGCTCTCTGATCCGCTGTCGGAGTATGGAATGCAATTGTATTCCACCCGTTTTAGGTTTTCACATGTGCGGGTAGAAATTCAATAATAGTCTAGCTATGCAATAGCTATTTTTGCCCTTTTGTATCTACATGTGTCATTTCTGCTTACCCAACAATGACATGAGTGACAAGTCACAGCTGTGACTCTCTTTCTCTATGCTCAACCATTATATGCTCTACCATGACACCATTTCCTTAGACTTCCATTTTCTGTATTAGTTGGCTTTTTCCGAGGTCGAACCTACAGCTTACACCAGTTCTATCATGTCCCCGACCTCGCCGGCATCCTGCCCTTGGTCTCCTGTATGCCAGGACTTGCTTTGGTAAGCACCCCGTCACATAGATGTAACAATTCCAACAGCCAATGAAAATGGAACATGCAGGAGTTGCACCCACTACTGGTCCACTAGTCTGTCCCATCATTGTTGCGATTTTACACTAATACACATAGAAAATGAGCAATCAAGGAGATCACTAGGACCTTCAACCTAACTATTCAAATCCTAATTTTGTGTAGTTTGTGTTTGGGGGTTGAGCCGCAGGAAATGGCTAATGGATTCAGATGTTCTTATTGATATGAGTTGTAATTGGATGTTGTATAAGTTTGTATTGAGGTTTTCATTGTAATGAACAGAAAATAGCAGTTGTTGTTTGAGGAGTTGATATTTGAGAGGAGCAATATGGCTCTACTCTCCTAGCACTTGCACTTTGCACTTTGTACCTTGCACTTGAATTTGAACTCGCACTTGCACTTGCACTTGCACTTGCACTTGCACTTGCACTTTAGACTTAAACCTGAACTTGTACTTTGCACTTTTCACTTGCACTTAAAGAAATCCAACTGATGTGACAGTGGTGGTGTCACAATCAGGGGACACTGATTGTATTGGTTTGAAACTTTCCCCTCTAAACCTGACTGATGTGACGCTGGTAGCTGTCACAATCAGGAGGTCCGCCAGGGAGGTCCTTGTTATTCTATCTAATTTACTTATAGACCATCTGGAAATAATTATGTAATGTGTGACACTGTGACTTGATCCGCCTCTAGCATGTTCTAGTTCTGATTTCTGGAATGTTCTAATATTCTACCTGGTTCAGAGTTGCCAAATACAGACATGTTACCACTTATTTGGTTCAGTTTCTAGACTGGGTCTAGAATCAGTTTAAAACTGTGTAGACTGTCTGGCTGGTCCCTTCTGGAACAGATCTAGAGTCTAGAACAATTATAAGTGGTCATGCGAACCATATATAGAAGGCTTGGGTGGTGTCGCAGGCTAGCTCCCAGAGCGACCGTTAGGAGGGTGTTGACAGATCTGTGATAGTGTAGACTCGAGCGGGGCGGGGGTTAGGCTGGAATCAGACTCAGGCAATTTCAGTGGGCCGAAACTGACAAATGTGGGATTAGATGTCATTACATTTCCATCTTATCATTTAGCTCTTTTGTTCTAACTCATCCTGCTCAATCATGAGCCAAGAATTTTATTATTGTAGTAAGTGCTAAGTGGCCTAGCTTATCCCATGCTAACTAAGCTTGTCCTTTGCCCGGCTAGCTTACACTTAGGAATCTATTTATAAAAGTGTTTCTGAATTGTAGCATTCTTAGTTAATCTCAGTTATACAATTAACTTATTAGATTTTTTTTTCCTATCCATATCTATTGTTAACCATACTATGTTTATAGTTAGTAGTATCTTAATTAATCTGCCCATTATTCTATTTATATTACTTTGCCTTCAAACTATATATCGAAACTAGCAATACTTACTCTAAGTCGCCAGCTATCATATCCTTTGAAGCAAGAAAATATGTAAATTCTATAGCTAGAAGTTAACTCGTTGAATTATTAGGCAATTTGATAGTCTTAGGATTAGACTCTTACAACACCTTGAAAGGCACATCCATCATGAGAGTCTAGGCTAAGGTTAGCCAGGTTAACAGCCCATTATGCTATAACTACTCCGAGGACTTGTCACAATGTCTGTGACACCTTATAACAAGTTTTT